CTGCATGTCAGCCTCGACGAGCGCCGCGTAGAACGCGAGCACGGAGTCGAACGGCGCGCCCGCGAGAAGCGGCGAGTGCGCGATCCCGTAGACGTCCGTGAGCACGTCGCGCTCGACCTCGGGGAACGTCGCCACCGGGGAGAGCTCGAGCAGGAGAGCGATGATGTCGAGTGCGGCACCGAGGAGCAGGATGTCGGCGGGGATGATGTACGCCTTGAGCGTCGGGATGAGGTTTGCGGATAGATCAGCTGGGATCGCGGAATATCTGAAACGCAGGGTAAGCGTTTGTGCTGTACGAAGAGGAGAAGCAGCTTACCTCCTCAAGAGGGCGTCCAAGCAGTTGAACGCCTCCACCTTACCCGTACGCCCACTCTTCTTCAAGAGGGTCGACACCCACTCGACAGAACCATTCACCCACGCGTCGTCCATTTCCACCTTCGTCGCTACCTCGGTGACGACCTTGACGGCACCATCCGTGCGGCCAGTGGTCCTGCAAATGTACTCCCACTCCTTCCTGTTCTTTGTCTTCACAACATCCGTCGCGGAGATCCACAGGTCTCCAATAGACTCCTCTGCGCACGAGCGAACTTCTGCATCCGTATCGTGATTGCTCAGACGTCGCACGGCCTCGTCGTAGACGCGGTCGACCCATTGTCCGCTCTTCACCGGCTGCATAGCGTTCAGCAGCGCAGAGAAGTTGCGGAAAGCCTCGGAGGCGATCCGCGGGTGCTTCTCCGCCAGAGCCTGCAACAAGAACGGCGTGATAGACTCGAGCTGGGGCGCATAGACAGCAGGAGGGTGTTTCGAGAAGAAGAGCGCGAGGAAGGACATGCATGTCACCTGCAGGGACGCTGAGCTCCGGGACGAAGTAGAGAGGACGTTCTTCGCGTCGGCGATAATCTGTGCCGACTGGTTCGCGAGAGAGCCAGGAAGGACAGTCAGAAGCTTGTGCAAAAGGGAGAACCCGGCTTCGAGAGTAGGTGCAGGCGTCTTCGGCGACTTGATCTGGTTAAGGAGGGCCTTCGCGAGGGAAGGCACCTGTGATTGCAGCAAGCCGTACGGCGTCTCCTCGACCTCCATGCCTTCTTCGCGCTTACGCTTGCCTCCTACCGTGTATTCTGCGTTGCTTTGCGGTGATCCACCGTACACGCCAGTTTGGGTCAAGAGCACGCTGTAGGTGGACCATACCTCCAGCCGAACGGTTTCTTCACGATCACCAAACCGAGAGATGAGCACTGGAGAGACCTCCTTGTACAGAGTGGTGAGCAGTTCTGGACGCGTGGCGATAACAGCGGCAAGGAGTTTCGTCGCTGAACGACGGATCTTGTACGAGGTGTCCTCGTCGTCTTCATACCTAAAGTTCTGCGTTAGTGAGCTAGTCTGTGATCAGACAGCATGAAATCTGACTCGTCGCCCAGCTCCTCATCGTCCTCATCGTCCTCGTCAGCCATATCTTCATCTTCGTCATCGTCACCGCCTGCATAGTTCTGCGAACATTGAGTGGCCGTCAATGAAAGAAAACGGCACAACCTACCGGGTCGTACTTGATGTACTGGTTGCCGACTTGGATGGTCGAACTGAGGAACGGCGTAATCTCGCCAGGACACCTGAGGACAAGCCCTTCCAAAGCCTACCGGGAGAAGCGAGTACGATAAGCTGCGGTCCAAAAAGAAAACCCGCTAAACTGACCTGAAGACAGCTCTCACGCAGTTCCTCATCGTCGCGCTGCGAGTCCTTGAGGATGCTAGGCGCGATCTCACTCAGTGCAGCTGCGATTTGATGCGGAGAATGGCGGGCAACCGCCGCAACCAGCTGGACAACTGTGCGCTGCTTCTCGAGGTTGGCGGACGGCGTCAGACCAGGGACAATGTACGCGCTCAACAATTCGGTGAAATGCTGAGGTTGCGAGTACGGCAAGAACTGTGCCAGGGTCGTGATAGCCCGTTTCCGGACGGCTGGTCGGGGATGCGAGAGCATAGGTGTTAGTACTTGTATGGGCTGGACCTCCAGGCCGATCAAGTATCCGGGGAAGCGGCTGATCAAGATAGACAAGATCGAGAGGGTTTCGATGAGGGTCTCTGGTGGTGTGCTCGGCTGGGGGTGTAGTTAGTCAGCGAGACAGCGCGAGCACATCGAGCATAGCGCGATACACACGTTCTGAAGCTGTCCGAGGAGTTTGGGCGTCAGCTTCTCGCAAGCTTTGAGGGCAATCTTGCCGTCGGACGGAAGCTCCGAGGTGATGGTCTTCAACGCTGAGGTAGAAAGGGATCATTATGGAACACGCGTAATTGCCTCATTCCCTCGTCCACACACCTAGTCCAGCGATATCCCGGAGCTCCTCATCTTTGCCGGCAGAGAACTCAATCAACTTGTCCACGACGGTCTCCATCTGGGACTCGCGAATGATCTTGATGAGCTGTCCTAGACTGTAGCACAATACATCTCAGTACACAGGCCGCATGATGAAGTCCCGCGCGCACCATTTGACCGCCTGGTTCTTCACCTCCGAGATCTTGTCCTCCACGAGCGCGAGCACCTGCTTGAGCACTTTGTTCTCTGAGGCCTCATCGCCCAAGAAGCTATTAGGATCTTGCTTGATCTCCAGTAGTAGGTCATTCAGGCCCATGTACCTGCCGCGATTCGCGTTAGCACATGCGCGGCGCGCGGGGACGCGTCGGGGCTGTGGTCACGCACCGGAAGTCCTGGTCTGGGGATTGCATCTACATCGCGTGCGTCAGTGCAGTTGCGATCAAAGCTGCTGCGATACTACCTTCTCCACCAGACCGTTCATGATATACGTCTTCGTCATCGCTGCCAACGATGGGGTGTGGGAGGGGGGTAGAGAAAGGGAGATGGAGGAAGGCAAGTGGCGGAGTGAAGCTGTGGCGCAACTTCTCGAGTGGACTAACTGGGCGTCTATCCAATCACGCTCACCGACTCGCCGCCGCCGACGCGCCTGGCCTTTCCTCTCCAGGCCCACCACGGCACATCGAGCTCGGGCGCTGTCAAGCTCCGAGTATACTGCCTCGAGGTGGGCGTGGCAGAGAGTAAGGCCTCGTGACGCATGAGCCGCGGATTCTTACTAGCAGCGCAGACGCTAGGGCGCGGACGAACCCTAACCTCGTCGCGAAGCTGAGGGCTTCACGGCTGGTTTCCGGCGTGTCAAGCTCTGTCAAGCTGCTCTCGACGCTCGTTCAGCCAAGTCTCGCCTCCCTGCCTCGCTCTCAGCCAACAGACGGCTGTCGCCACCCCAGTGCATCCCTCTCAGCCGTACGCCTTCGGTCGCCCTCTCGCCGTCTCTCTGCGCTGTGCGCTCCATCCTCGCTCCTCGCCCTCCACTGCTCTGCTCTCCTGCGACGGGCGCGCCCGTCGCCTCCTGCTGTGTTGCGCCGAATCGTCTGTGCGCGCAGCTTCCTCCCCGACAACCAGCACGCCTGCCGCTCAACGTACGTACCATGTCCGCAATGCTCACCGATATCTCAATTGCTCATCCTCGGCACTCTTCAGAACATGATCGAACCACAAAAACGCGTCAAGTATTCACCAGCCGTACATACATACAACGCCGGTCCTGTCGGCCTCACACCGACAGGTCCGTCACGGAGTCCGTGCTCGTGGACTGCTCGGCTGCTCTTCGCGGTCTCTACTCGCGAGCGTACCCGATGCTGCCAACCACGCAGTCCGCGCGACACGCTAGCCCGCGCAGGGATATACAGGTACGTCACTAGTCCGCGACTATCCATCTACACGCCACCCGCGCACCGGACACTGCTGAGTCCATCGAGCGGTGCGGGAGTCCGAGGCTGACGGCTGTGGTCAATGCAGATACGCAGGCGCAACGGAAAGAATAGCGCACCGTCATGCTCACCCGCACATCGCGACACCGACCTCGTCGACCGCGGCCCTCTTGCGTACGACGCCGCGGCACATAGGCTGTCCACGAGCAGTCAGCGCACGTGTGAGCGGAGACATCGGGTGCATGGACGTACCAGACCACGCGGCGCAGCAAGCAGGATGCAGAATAGGCGAGGTGAGGAGGGAACGGCGGGGAAGAGACGGGAAATGGCTCCTCTCTCTCCACACCCTCCAGCCTTTAACCGTCCCCCGAGACGCCGATGGCCCACGCCCGCTCCCTCGCCATGCTCTCTGCCCGCTGCCCATGTTCGGTTCGCGCCGCGCACGCATCTCCGCCGCCGGCGCCCCGTGTGCGCGTGCGTTGCCCTCGGACGATCGCGCCCCGCCGTCCCCACGCATACGCATCCCTGACGTCCGTTTCCAGCGCAAGACACCGTGCGCTCCGCGCCGAACAACCCCGCGGGACGAGGATGGGCGGTCAGCCCCACTAGCGGCGGCGAGCGTCGCCTGCAAGACACAACGCCCGAGCCCCCGCCCCGCCGTCGACATTCGCCTCGATGAGCACGTTCACAACATGCGCCGGTCGAGTGGGACGCCGCCGCCAGCATATCTGACGGTACGTACGACTAGCCCGTGTCTCCGATCTGATGCACGCTCATCCCTCGGACCGAGGACGCACGTCCAGACGGCTGTTCCATGCCTCCCGAAGGCCAGCGGTGCATGTACCACAGTAGTGGTACGCCACCTGCCCGCGCACGACGGCGCTGCGCGCGTCTTTGACGTCGCACAACGCCCTCTCACGTCTCGTCGGGCGCGCGTCTCGGCGGGGATGCAGCACGGCACGACGGCGACTCCGGCCGCTCCCTCAGCCCCATGCCGCGTCGAATCCACACCGGCACACTCCCCCGACGCAATGTACACACCCCAGCGAGTCTTGCACGAATATATTTGTGATACCCCCCACGAGTCTACGGGCAGCAGCGATGCACGGCGTCCCGAGCTGCGCATCCCCGCCCTCCTGCGCGTCCTCCTGTGCCATATCTCCGCCGGCGCATCCCCGCGTCCGGCGACGTGCATGCGTGTGTCACCAGTCCGATTCCCGACGAGTTCGCGGCGAGGTGCTCGATGCGGCCCCCGAGCGTCCGGGTACTGTCGAGACGGCGCCGAGGCACGACGGGCTCAAGCCTCGCGCTCGATAGGACATGCCCCGGCGACGGCGGGGCGACGTGCAGAGCACGCTTTGCGACGGCGCACGACTCGTCGTCGCCGCGGCGCGGTGGGAGCGGGGGCGTGCACCAGACAAGACGTCTCGCTCGCGCGCCGACGACCGTTCCCGGCAGCGCCGACACGACGACGCCGCGCTCGAATGCACCATGGGACACGCGCCCGGCGATCTCAGCGCTGCCCGGCGACATGTATATCGGAATCCCCCGCGCGATGCGCGATTTCATGGGCGAAGACCCGGCGAGCCCACAGAATCGCACGGACCCGTCCTCCCCCGCACTGTGCCGCGTCGAGAATGCACCAGCACGATATACGCACCAGAGCCTAACGTCCAGCGAGGTCCGAGCGCGTCTGAGCACAAAAAGCCGGTCCGAGGTGTTTCCAAACGGGGGACCCTTGCGTCGCGGCGCCGTACGCGTACGAATGGGGGCGCGCACCCGCCAAGGCGGCGAGATCGCGTGCGGAGGGTGCTCTGTGCAGCGCCCAAACCGCGACGCCGCACTCCTGCGCACCGCGGGGCATGCGTCCAGCGCGTCTCGGCGCCGTCCGTGCACATGGACTCCGGGTCGTTTGCGCGTTTTCATGGGCGGAAACTGTGCAAACGCACAGATGTGCGCGTGCCCGTCCTCGCTCGCGTCCCCCCGCGGCGGGCACTCGTCAGGATACACCTGCGAACGTTTGCGTGCGGCACCTGTCATGCTCGAGGGCGTGCGGACGGTTTGGTTCTCGACCCTTGCGCGGGGAGGGGTTCAGACTGCGTAGCCCCATCCGCAGACAGGTCGACCTCGCACCCGGACGCCGCGCCCTGCCGCCTTGCCAGTGAGACAGCACACTCCTTGCACCAGGCCGCACGCGCCCTACCCATTTCAACTCCATCCGAGCAAGTCGAATGTCGCCGACTTTGTGCATTTTCATGGTCTCGTCGGGTGGCGTAAACACCGAAACACCCGCCCCCGCCCTCATTCGTGTCGCGTCGGCCCGCCCTGCGGCACAGACACGCCCGCAAACGTGCCTAACCGATTCCCGCTATTTTGGGAGGCGTGCAAACGGTGTGCGCCTCGGTGTTCTCGTGTGAAGCAGTGTGAGTAGGGGTAGATGCCCCCAACACACCGTCCTCCTGCGACGGCCGCGCCCCGGGCGGCTTCATCAACACAACGACAGGCTGTATGGAGCAGGGTACGCACGCCCTGTGAGTCTCGGCCTCATCCGAACAAGTTCAATTCTGACGACGTGATTTCCAAGGGGGGACCCTTACAGGTTCCGCGAAATCAGCGAATCAAGCATTCCACCTCGCCCTCGCATCCTCCCGCGTTGAAACTTGGCACGCCTGTGCCTATACGCGCCGTGAATCGTTCTGCGTCAAGCTCGCCTGTAGGCAAAAGGCTCGCATGTGGGAAACCTCGCGGGAAGGTGTGCCACAGACACAGCGACCCTCCGCTAGACTGCGCCCACGTGCTGCTCCAGTGTCGCAACGATACATGATCTGCACGGGACGGAATATGCTCCGCCAGTATCAGCGCGTCCTCGGCAAAACTGCAACCTGAGGCGTCGAAACACTGGCGAGGAGTGGAAACCAGATGTGCACACCCCGGGCCCCCATCGCCTGAGGGGGCTCCAAAAGCACAGCCATAGGCTATTCTGCATCAGCGATCGTGTTCACAGTGAGTCTCGGCCTCATTCGAGAAGATTATTTCTGACAAAGTGGTTTCTAAGGGTCCCCCCTTACAGATTCCCAAGATCCGACAGATCGAGCACTGCGCCTCGCCCACGCATCCTCCCGCGCTGAGATCTGGTACGCGTGCTCGTGTATGCATTGTGTACCCTTTTTTGTCACGCTGACACGCATGCTCACAGTTTGCGAGTACATAACATGGCAGGAAGGTGCGTCACAGACACGGCAACCTCCCGCACGTTCGCGCCCCCGCGCGGCTCCCGGAACGCTACCGTACACACCCCGTACGACGTTTCATATCGTCTGCGAGTTTCAGCGTGATCCCGGCACAAATGCGGTTTGAGGCATCGAAACACTGGCTAGGGGCGGGAAGCCAAACATGGGTGCCCCACCCCCCACCGCTACAAAGGTCTTCAAAAACACGATCATAGGCTATCCTGCATTAGACACCATATTGGCCGTGAGTCCCGGCGTCGCCTGAGAACATTCATGTTGGCGAAGTGCTTTCATTCCGCGAAATCGATGGGTCGAGGAATTCGCCTCGCCCATTCATCCTCCCGCGCTGCGCTTTCGTAGGTGTGCTTGTTCATGTGTCTCGAGCCTTCTCCGTCATGCTGACGCGTATGTGAACAGTTCGAGGGTAAACAACCTTGCGGGAAGGTACGCCACGGTACCTAGGACCTCCCGCTCCCCCGCGCTCTCGTGCCGCCGCCAGGATACACCAGCATGCGCCCCGCACCGTCTCGCATGGGCTCTGAACCTTTCGGCGCGATCATGGCCCGACAGCGTTCTGACGCCTCCGGAGTCCGATGACTAGCGAGAACGGGAAGCTAGAAACGGGCGCCCTGGCTCACTATGTCGGCGTTTCGTGCCGCAATCTCCCCCACACGCCCACATGGACGCGTACGTTTACGTCTTTCTCCTGACATGCTTGCGCGCGCGCGGATCGCTCGAATACCGACGCGCTCATGGGCGAACACTCCAAGACGGTCTCGCGTCTCCCGGCGCGCTGGGACTGCGCCCGTACGCTGCATGCTCGAGAGTCGAGCTTGAGCACGAAGTTGCGTCGTGCATGCTCCATTCGCACGCAGCCCACAAACATGCGGAACACGTATCACGCCGAACGCGCGAGGTGCGCGGTCGTCGTTACGCCTGCACTTAGCACTCGTGCTCTGACAGATACGAAGCCAGTCCGCTCGCCCACGGCCAGAATACACACGCGATGGCAGCCCCACGACGTGCGCAATGGCAGGGCCGTTCTCTGAGCCGAAACTCTCGTCTTGTAAGCAGGGGAGCCAGCGCCCAATAGCCTTGTGATCGCCCTCGAAGACGCGCGCAGTGGAAACCTACTTCGATATACTATCAGAACGTCCCGTCGCCGGTAGCTTCACGCACAGCGGTTTTGCATCAGCATGAAATATGTTTCTTCAGCCCAGCTTCAGAGCCCGCGTACGTACCCCGCGAGACCATTCGATGGATATTGGATACCTATGTGACACACACGGGCATCGCAGAGATGACTTGCACCCGCCGATGTCGCTGACGGCCCACGGCTGACTCGGACGTGCAGCATCTGTGCACGCATGTCCACTGCCGGCAGCCTGTCATCGTGTCGGGAATATCGGAGAGGAAAATAGGAAACAAGGCTGACTGAACGTGCACCAAACTCCGAAGAGAGCTCACGCTCGCAGTCGGACGCGAAGAGCGCCGCGACCTATACGCTGGCGCGCAGCCCAAAATGGAGAAGGCCTCGAACTGACCCTGAGACGAGTACGTACTGACGATACCCACGTGCGCTCCATGATGGCGTCGCAATGGCTGCCGCGTACGAAAGGCCTCGCGCTCGCAAGAAGAAGCTGCACAGAGAGGAATCTGGCGTTGGCGAAGACTGCAGGTCAGCGCACCGGACCCACAAGTTCCGGGGTCCCATATCTCCCCGAGGCAGACGTTGTCTGTCGTGCGGCGAAGGGTTCCAGGCTGTGCTGTCCCTTGATGGCCGATTTGGAATACTTCCATGCATTGTGCGCGCCCGCCGCAATTGTCGCGACGCTTGAGGACACCGACTAGCCTATTGTGGGCTCAGTGACCACTCTCCCGGTGCCGCGCCCCGAGCAGCAAGCACGAGGCCGAGATTTAGGCACACGATGGACGTCGCACAGAGGAGCTGACAATGACACACGCGCGCGGGATTGCGCGCACTCCGGTCCCGAGCAGGATGCATTGCCGCCCGAGGGTCGCAAGACCCCGGCGCCGGATCGACGTCCATAATCCCTCGTCGAGAGCGCGTGGGATGAGTGCATGTCAATTCTGCGACTGTTAAGCAAGAGTGTACAGACAGAGCGTACTGGTTGTTGTCCCTCGATGCCGGTGTCGGGAGCTGTGCGTGGTCCGCCAAGTTCACCACGAGACCCCGAAAGATGTCGCTTTCAAGCTGCGTAGCGGACCGATTAGTCTGACAGCGGATGAGTTAAAGATATGCTTACCTTTCCTGTTGCGCAGCTCGTGTAGCCGAGCGCACGGGCACAGCGGCCGCCGATAGGGAAGGCCCGGAGACGCGCTGACAACGACACGGTCGCGACGTCAAGACGGTCGCGACCAAGAGCGGCATTGCGGGAGCACGATCTTTACCTCACAGGCGCACGGCACACATGATCGGAGATGATGGATATACTGTGCGCGAGCAAAGTCTATGAGCCATCATTTATATATAGATGCACTTGGTCCCAGCGCACCTTCAAGTTTGGCTTGCGAGCCTGAGAGGCAGAGGCGCACTGCGCCGGTGAGCCAGACATGCTACTTGGCAGTCCGAGTGTCAATGCGGCTACTCGGGAGGAGTTCGGTGTCATCGGCCTACCGTACAGTTCCCAACTGCATTAGCCGCGCGACGGGGATATTCGTGGCAGATTAGCTATATGCGGTGGCAGGCCTGCTGGACTTGGGCGCGATGCACGATCCCGGCGTTCACAAGAGGCAGCGGATCCGAATGCGAAGCACTGCCATTCTCGCGTTAGGCGTGCGATAACCTGCAAGAAGATATCAGTATTTTTTCGCGGTCGAAACGACACGGAATACGCACTTGGCCCGTTCACGCGGTGCGTTCCTATCGTTCATAAGAGTGAGTGTGGCTGCTGGTCGGGACTCTCGCAATGGCTTCACTTCTCCCACCTGTCATGTCCGTTGTCCCGTCCCAGGTTACGTCCACGGAGCTGCCATCCATGACGTCCGTCCCTTCCGAACTCTCCGCCCTCCCGGAGCTCGCTCTCTCAACCGTCGGCGACCGCGTGCGCGCGAGCGAGGAGTTGAACCCCAGTTTGCGTGAGTGCCAGTGCCCTATACTCGCCATAAGTCCGCTAATGACAGTGCAGTGCTTCTAGGAGAACTCACCGAAGCATCGCCTGCAAGCTCCGACAGCATCACTGAGACAACGGAGCGCAACCCAGTGCTGCTGAGGCGGGTCCCGGGTCACCGCCACCGCCGCCTCGGACCATCGTCTTCGCGCGAGTCCGCCACCGCGGCGACGCGAAGGCACGCTACAGGGATATTTTCAAGCCGTACGGACGCGACAGCGGGAAGCTTGCAGCGGGGCACGGGGAGGTCTCCTTGGTCGACTCGGAGGACCCCATCATCGGACTCCAGCCTGCTGCAGCGGGGAGCGCGTCTGCTCTCTCTGGCTCACCCGCAGTCGTATCTCACGGCAATACCGACAGTACTACGCCGTTCCCGCAGTCTGACGGGACGGAGGCGGCCTCGGGGCGTGCGGCGTTCGGCGGGTCGGATTTGGAGGTTCCGGGGCAGTCTGACTCCTGGCTTGTATTCGAAAGTCGTCGTGATTAGCATCATTGGTCTTGTACGCGTGTTGAAGATTATATGCACATAATACTCGATTTCTTGAGCAATGTTGGCTCGAGCGTCCATGGCGGCCCAGAGTGAGTCGAGAGTCGAGATGAAGGTTTCGAGCGGCGGGCGCCTCGAATGAGCTTGCATTCCTGATTTGGGAGACTGGACAGGCTTGGGCGGCTGAGGACCGCTCCTTCGTTCTGCTCCCTCATCGCGCGCTCTGCTTGCCATCCTGCACGCTCGACTGCATGCATGCTTGGCGACGTCTTTGATCATTCGGCTACAGGGCCTCTGTTATCACCATCAGTCAGGCCTCTACAGCCGTCCTCAGGCTGACATGGGCGCCCGGCGGTATTAGCCATGTTCGACAACAAGCAGCAAGTGTCAAGTTCAAACTTGAATTTACAACTTGAGTGCACACGCGAGAGGATCTCTGTATCGCTGCAGCGTCGAAATATATGCCATGTTTTGGTCGAGGCGAGGGTCATTTTGGCTGCTTGGGCGCGCTATCTCCATAGCTGATCATGCAATTAGGCAGAAGTCTGATGTGCGGTATCCAGCCGCCTGCACGGGAGGTCCCGCGGAAGTCCAGGAAATCGAGTCTCCCTGTTTGAACACGGGGAACTCGGCTTGCCATACTTGGAGCGCAAGCAGATGGCCCTCCGGGCCTCCGCCAAAGAATGGCGCGTCTGCAGCATCCGCCGCTCGCTCTGTCCCGGTTCGGCACCCTATATCAGCCTTGAAGCGGACTAGAACATTGTGGCTGTCATATTCCCTGTCCTCTAAATTATTTGCTTCCTCTTCTTGCCCCCTCCGTCCCCGTATCTGCTCTCGGTCTCTCTCGCTGTCTATGCTCGCGACGTCGACAGTGCACTCCCATTCTTCACGTTTTCCGAACCAACTTACCCCGCGACAACCGCCTTTTGGGGCCCGGGCAAGAGGACGCCTCGACAGGTGCGTAGACAGTCATCGTTGTGCTCCTGTTGTGGATGTGGTGGGATTCTCGGCGAGGTCCTCAGTTTGGAGTGCAACGAGCGCAGCACTCGCCTTCGGTCGTGGTGCCGGGTGTTCAACGAAGCCTGCTGTGGCGGCCGCAGGCGCCACGCACACCTCAATTTCGCACGCAGAGCACACCCCGGGCCCATTAGAGCGTCCTTGAGGTTCAGAGTGCAGCAGCGAGCTCGAGGGCAGACCATGCGAAGAGCAATCGGCCTTCGGGGCTCAGTGCGCTCCAATATTCCGTCAGTTCAAGTTTTGCATTTTCTTCCTGTTGTTTTTCGGCTGCGGCGGGCGACTGGCGGTTCCAGCCTCACGTGGCCACGGTGGAGAATGTCCAACTCGTCTATCATGCCGGTGAGGAGGTCCTAGCCCGATGTGCGGTTTTCGTAACGGCCATGGTGGACATCAAGGGCAGTGCTCATGGGGAGGTTGCTCAGGAGGGGCACCTCAATTCGTGTATCACACAAGTCGGCTACCCTGTGCGGACCCGGCCGCAAACATGGCGGCGTGCGATGTCGGGCGGCGGCCTCTTCCCGGGCTTGCTCCACGCCGTTCAGTGTCGCTTTCGGGCGCATCCAGAAGAGTCGTGCGTACTGCACCCTTTTAGGCCGCGCACGCACAAGTTTCATATAGGAACATGTCCATCTCGCGTCCGAATTGGGACAGCATAACCTCCGGACCCTGCGTTGACCGTGCAAGGGTGCGTGACTGCGGCGCGTTAGTGCTGACCCCACCGACAGGCACATGCGCGAAGCCACGCGGACAGTGTTTTGCAGACAGCAGCGTGCTGGCTTGCTGTCCTGTTTTGCCGCCGCTTTCCAAGGGTGCGCCGGCCTAGTACGTGTGGGATCTACTATGCATGCAGGTGCCTCGCTCATTTCGTTTTGCAGCAAACTCGATACAAGAGGATGGAAGAGGTGCGCGAACAAGTCTAGCCCATGAGGCGTCACGGGCGGAACATCTGAGCAGTTGAGGTGGGAAATCGTGGCTGGGACAGGACTCGAGGGGCGCAGGGACTCGTGGGGAGACGACTGAAGGAAACAGCGTCTGCGCTACGTCACGGGCGGGTATCTTGGGCGCGGTGGTATTTGCTGCGAGCAACGCCATCTCGCCGAGTCCGCGCCATCACGCTATCGCAAACACCTGTGGTCTTATTGCGAGGAAACCATGTATTCATTGAATGCTATCTACGTTATGTACATGTCCACGACGGCGTGACCCCGTGTGGCCGACCAAACACTCCGTCCTACCGCCCCCTGCTGCTGCCGGCGTCCTGTCCCGTCCGTGCCAACCAAGCCCCGATACTCTCCCTGCGCCCTGCGCGCCAACTAGCACCCACTACCCTCCCATACTTACGAATAATTTCTGCAGCTTCTCACCCCGCGCCCCGCGCCGTCCGCGCCCCGCCGTCCGCGCTACCGAAGACCGCGCCGGCACTCGCGGCGCTGTCACACGTACCTTCAGGTGCCGGGCGAACTCAGCGATCGTCCCCGCGGCAACCGCCCGCTGGGATTTGACGACCTGGCCCACGCACTTGGCGACATTCGGGAGGCTCACATCGCCCTTCGGCGCCTTCTCGACCGAGGAAACGAGGTTCGCGACGACATGCGGCGCGATCTGCATGTCAGCCTCGACGAGCGCTGCGTAGAACGCGAGCACGGAGTCGAACGGCGCGCCCGCGAGAAGCGGCGAGTGCGCGATCCCGTAGACGTCCGTGAGCACGTCGCGCTCGACCTCGGGGAACGTCGCCACCGGGGAGAGCTCGAGCAGGAGAGCGATGATGTCGAGTGCGGCACCGAGGAGCAGGATGTCGGCGGGGATGATGTACGCCTTGAGCGTCGGGATGAGGTTTGCGGATAGATCAGCTGGGATCGCGGAATATCTGAAACGCAGGGTAAGCGTTTGTGCTGTACGAAGAGGAGAAGCAGCTTACCTCCTCAAGAGGGCGTCCAAGCAGTTGAACGCCTCCACCTTACCCGTACGCCC